CCCAAAGAACTCGTCCTATTGCAGAGACACTTGTAGATCCATGTTTGTTGCTGCTCTTTTCACAATAGCTAAGAGATGGAAGCAACCTAGGTGTCCCTCAATTGATGAGTGGATAATGAAAATGTGGTTCATATATACGATGGAGTTTTATTCAGCAGTAAAGAAAGATGAAATCATGAAATTTGCAGGTAAATGGCTGGAACTAGAAACTGTTATACTAAGTGAAGTAACACAGACTCAGAAAAAAAAAATGGCGTATGTTCTCCCTCATATGTGGATCCTAGAACCAAATCCTTATAAGTGAATCCACACATAACTACAGGAACTGGGATAATGAAGAAGAACCAAGGAAGTAAAGGAAAAGAATCTGAAAGAGAATAACAGTAGAAAACAGGTGTTAATAAGGGAGATATGGAGGCTATGGGAAGGTAACCCAATAATGGGGTTAAGTGGGGGGAGAGGTTTTACAAGGAACCTAGGGGATAAAGGGAAAGAAGGAGCTCAAGAGAGGTGGGACCATAAGAGAAGGGTATTATTAAGGGACAAATGGAAAAAACGGGGGCACCTTAAATGGGGAAACCATGGTAGAAGGGTTTAGACAATGTGAGAGATAAACAATGCCTAGCTAGTTTTCGAAAACCAGAGGGAACCATATTAGGCCAACAACCTAATGACAAATTATACATACAACAAGATCAAAGAATGTAATATATGTCTAGGCAAGGTTTATCTGAGAGTGTTTGGTCTTTGTCCAGGCTCTATCTACATGGCATATGGTAATTAAAAGTACCAGACTGGTGGAACTAACCTTCTTGGATGTGTAACAGCCATACTTTGAGTCCTGTACTAATTTGGTCAGGGGGACATAAAGGACAGTTTTTGCTCCTTGCTGTCCTAGGTCGATTAAATTCCAGGGGACTATGAGCATCTCTCAAAATGTCCTGTAACTGTCGTGAGTCACCTGTCCTCTTGAGCAAGGAGGCTATGGAGACCCCACCAGATGGACCTGAACCAGTGTCCAGTCTACAAAGAGGAGGGTCAACACAGAGGAGACTTTTCCTCCATGCTTCCAAGTGAAGCCAGCCATGGTTGAGTAGGGCCTTTGATTTATCTTCACATAGACAGAACTGGTAAAAGAAAGGAGCCGGGGGCTCCTCCCAAGCCCATGTGACCCCTGAGGAACAGATCCTCAAACAACCTTAAGAGTAAAAATAAATTGTTTTATCTGGGCCAACTGTAGGATCTTAAACACCCCTAAGAAAGTAGAACCAAAGATTAAAGAGGTCAGTATAATGTTTAAGAGTTCATATGTATAGCTAAAGGCTACATAACAAGAAACAATGCCAGACAGGTGATACCTTCCTTTGAGTTATTGGCCAAGGTGGCACAAAAGACTCCCAGACAGTAACCCAGCATAGAACTGGGAAAATGAACAGCAGGCCCCAATCTTATCTAAAGGAATATTGACAATTGATTGCTGCTAGATGAGGAACAGCTGGTCTTCCTAAAACAAGGATCTCTAGATAGGCTGACTAGATTCAGCAGACAGACAAGCACTGGAGAATGGCTGGGGGTGTCGACAACACAGAGGACAGTAGCAGGGATGACAGAGTATATGGGTTCCAGTATGGGGGGGGGCTATGGGAAGGTGCCACTTAGGAAGTGGGTATATAGATGAATAAGATTGTGTGGGATGTTCTGTATGACATACACACAGAAAAATCAACAAATTAAAATAAAACTTATATTTGAGGAGGTAGCATAAAAATTTACTTCATGTTAAATAGTAGAGGTGATAAACATTACCATTGAAATCTACCTGATGACTTTATATCCATACTCAGGTACTAAGGATCTGGGTGTAACCAACTGTGACTAGTAATAGTCAGATACAAAAAGATTAAAGACACATGTGCAAAATGTAAGTGTTAGTAGCATTAAAAATATAGGAAACAGCATATTTTAAAATGAAATGGAGATCTTCTTTAAAGGTTAAAAACTCATTCAATTTTATGTCTTACAGGGTTTATACTGAGTTCAATATTGTATAACTGTATTAATTGTGAACCAAAAAATTACAGACATTTTTGAAAGAAATGTATCTTTGCTCTGGAATTGTTATTGAATATGTCAAAGCTGTAATGAAATGCTTCTAATCATTTGGCTATGAACTAAATAATTAAAACAATAATAATATGCCGTTCTATACTCCGAGTTTGGGCCCTGCGCCATTCCTAGTCTTGGGGCCCCAGACACCTGGGGAACCAATACACTTGATGACTTTATATCCATGCTCAGATGCCAAGGAGCTCAGAAAGTAACCTACTGTGACTAGTAATAATCAAATATATAGAGATTAGAAACGCAGGTGCAAACATCTAAGTGTTAATTGCATTAAAAATGAACTTTTTGTATGAAACTGTATTTTAATAATGAAATGGTGATCTTTTTTGAAGGTTAAAACCTCATTTAATTTTATATCTTATATCTTACAGGGTTTATACTGAGTACAATATTGTATAACTGTATTAGTTCAACTGTAAACCTAAAAATTTACAGCCAATTTTGAAAGAGATACATCTCAGCTCTGGAAATTGTCATTGAATATGTCAATGCTGTTGTAATGAAATGCTTCTTCTAAGTATGTGGTTATTAAATAATTTTTTAAAAAGACAAAAATAATAAAGCAAACAACTGAAAAAAAAAATAAAAAGACAGCCTGGGGGCTGGGGAGAAGGCTCAGCAGTTAAGAGTACTAGCTGCTTTTGCAAAGGACCTGAGCTTGATTCCCAGCACCCACATGATGGCTAACAACCATCCATAACTCCAGTTTCAGGGGATCTGACACCCTCTTCTGATCTCTGCAGGCATTGTATAACACTGGCACAGTTACATACATGCAGGTAATACATTCATACACATAAAATAAAAATAATAAAAATTAAAAATACATTTTAAAGAACCAAAACCCAAACCTCACCATACCAAAACAAAACAAAAGACAGCCTGACTGTTAGCATCTGTTTTAAGGCTAAGAGCCCCTGAACTGCTGAGAACCTGCTCCTTCAGTTGTCTCTCAGAACTGTGCTCCCAAGCAAGGGTTTTGCTCATTCTTTATTGAAACAGTATCTCCAGCATGAAATGGGGAAGTAAGAATTTTGCTATTTGATCCCTAGGCCTGGAATAACACACATACACACATAGCTACCATTTCTCTCATTGCTTGCAAAGCCGTAAGGGCACTGTCTACAGCACTTTGATATGTAAAACATGCATACACACACTCATGCACTCATATATCTTGGGTGGAGGTCAAGGAAGGGCTCTGAGGGATTAAGGTCATGTGCCCAGGTCACAAGAGGCACACTGGCTCAGTGAGCTTGTTTACATTATAAACAGTAACTTTTTGGTTGGAAGGGAAGGTAGGTAAAGCCATTACCACAAAAAAGGCATCAGAATAAATTAGAAGAGAAGGAAAAATAAATGTGCTGACAGCAATGTTAAGGTTTGAATCCAGAATAGCCTCTATGGGTCCCTATCATAAGCTTGTGGCACTATTTTAATGGTTGTGAAGCTCTTAGGAGGTGGGGACTGCTGGAGGTAAGGGATCACCCGGCATGGGCTTGGT